TCTGCAGTCCCTCAACAATTAGCCCAATTCCTCAGCCCTGAAGCTCAGTACCCAGAATGGGCAGAGCAGAGTGCAACTCAGGCCATGGGCTGCCAAGAAAGCTTCTTTGGATACTTTATCTTGTATATTGTCCCCAGAACAAAAACAAGTTCAGTTTCTCCAGAACAATTAAAAGCATATCTATGCTATGGGTCTAGCTTGGTATAAAAATCAGTTCTAGTAAGCTTCTTTCAAAAGGAGATAGGAGCATTTATTCATTGAATATTATTCTCTTCTCTTTTAGGGGATGGAAAAGAGTAGCAAGAAACCTCTGATATTGCCCCATCCAGCACTGCCCAGAGAGAGGAGTGGACAGTGGGCATCAGATATGATGGGGCATTGGCATGTAGTACCCATTCCAGACTTGCTCAAAGGGTTAAATTCTTCCCCTCTGACTTACAGCCAGCTGGAAGTTACAAATGTATTCAGCTAACAGAAAGCCTTGGTGCCCAGCCCTTAACCACTCAGCAGCCCCGTGCACGAAAGGTATTGTCTAACCCCTTGTCCTAAACAGGGCAGAGCTGCCCAATGCCTCAAGCTGAAAGATACCAGAGGAAAAGTGTCATAAGTTACTGTGACCTCACTACAGAAAACTGCAGGACAGAGGAACAGCCTGTGGTGAGGAATGGTGGAGTCCTACCAGCTGGATGTTCCATGGGTCATGAATAGAGCTGCTCAGCCACAGGAGAGAAAAAGGAGAAATATGGATGCATCTGTGTCAGGAGAGAAGAAGAGATGTAAAGGGAAAAAAGCAAAATGCCAAAAGAAGTGCAAGCAAAGTGAAATCCTAGCTCTGTTAAATGTCAGTGATCAAGGTCATGCTGTCTTCAGTGGGATGAGGATTTTACCCAGGAGTTAAGAGGTGCAGCTCAGAAGTACCAGGATATTTCAGAGCAGGCAGAAACAGAGAGGTCTGTTCAGGGCTGCAGTAACTCAGCCAGCAGCTGCCAGCTGAGAGCTTCTGGCCATGGGTATGACAGCATCATAATCTTTTGCCATCATGTACTTTGTGTCTTTGATTATTTAGAGATCAATATACTGACATGTAAAGAAAAGGATATGTTCAACAGGACACTTGACCTCAGAAGCTTCTTATATGGGAAGGCTTTTTTGTAGATAGAACATATCTATCAGACACTGAGACACAGAGTTCAAGATTTTAGGGCCTGAAGGGAACATTACAACCTTCTAGCCTGAACTTCAACATAAAATAGGCTATAAAACTTGACCAAATAATTTATGTGTCAGGCCAATAGCTTCTGGGTGAGTTATAGATCACCTCTTAAAAACTTTCAGCCTTGATTTGAAGACTTTGTGTGACAGACAGAATTTACAACATCTATGGGCAGGTAGCTCTGGTCAGTCTTTGTGTCTCAGCAGTTTTTATTAATACAGCAAGTGTCTCTTCTTGTCGTATTAGCATTATCATGTCCTATATCTACAGTACAGCATATGGTGGAAGGATAATGTGAAACTGCCAAGGGACTGCAACTTCAGTTGATCACCAGTGCTCCCCAAAGTTTAAGAACACAGCTAAAATAGAAACATACTAAGAGATACTTTTATTCAAAGTACTTTTCCCAGTATAGGGTTTGAAAGGAGACAGGCAGGAACTGCATGACCACTTCCACTGTCAGAACAGGCAGAGAAAAGCAAGATAACTGATGCTGTGCTGGAAGGACCCAAAATGCATTGCTGAGAAGATGGAATAGCACAGGGAGATCAGGTCTGTGACCTATCTGCATGAATCATCATAGAATGGTTTGAGTTGGAAGGGCCCTTAAAGATTATCTAGTTCCAGCCCCCTGCCATGAGCAGGGGTACCACCCACTAGATCAGGTTGCTCAGAGCCCCATCCAACCTGGGCGTGAACACTTCCAGGATGAGGCATCCACCACTTCTCTGGGTAACCTGTTCCAGTGCTGCACTAGCCTCTGGGTAAAGAAATTCTTCCTAATATCTAATCTAAATCTATCCTCTTTCGATTTAAAACCATTCCCCCTTGTTCTATCACTGTTTGCTGGTGTAAAAAGTTGCTCTCCATCTTTTTTATAAGCCACTTTCATCTACTGAATCCACTGAAGTCTGTCTAGACAAAGAGAAAAGACAGCTTTGAATCCCGTGCTGACTGAAATGTGATAGAAATGGAGGAGAAGTGACACTTTTTTGGAGACTCGGGATAATGACAAACATTGCTTCTACTGGGATTCAGGTTGCCCATGGAGACAGAAGAAGGCTGGAGTAAAATCAAGACTGAATGAAGAACCAAGTCAGCCCAATATGTGTGCCCTGGATGAGGGACAGATTTTCAAACAGAAATGGGAGAAGTGGAAAAGTTCAGTATCAAGGATAATGCAGAATAACTGTGGAAGGAGGCAAAAAATGAGCTGGATCGGAAAAATGTGGGAGGATCTGAGGTTTCTAAGGTTCCTCTCCCCAGGAGACCATCTGAGCCATTTAAATGAGGAAAGCTCAAATAAAGACAGAATTTCTTTTGGTTGAAAATATTGCTAGAGATTAGTCACAGAGGTATTGAAATATGGGTAAGTACTGATATACAAGTTCAGTTTCCTAATCACAAAAGCTTGCAGAGAGGCAAAGAGGAGAGAAGGCTTATTGAAAAGCAGACAGCTACAGACTGAGTTTTGCAGCTCACAGAGATTTGGCAGAGGTGGACAGAGCTGCCCTCACAGCTTTGAAGACATGATCAGGAGAATGGAGGGCTCTCCAGCACCCCCACAAAAAACAGAGGTGAGGATGTATGGAGTACTGTTGGGTGACATTCCACTCCAAAGCCCACAAGAAAACCCCAGGGGACAGGTGATGAAGCATTTGGAGCAAAGCAATGAAAACACTCAGAAACTCCAGTATACATCAGCAAAGAACCTATGTCTATACCTCTATATGGTGGCAGTGGTCGGAGCATTAACTTTGTATGAACTACTTCCAGTCACCAGTCAAGGAAGCAAAAAATTATAGAGGTGACACGTACTGTAGAGTGGACCTCAGGCTGATAAGCTCTGCTGGGCTTGTCAAGTTGGGCTCTGTGTCAGTACTGCGTGAGCTACCACATCCAGAGAACCCACCCCTCTGTACCTATCTGCTAATGCAGATAAGACATAACCAAGGTTTGATGTGCCTGAGATGTGCCTCACAAGGCCTGTAGTGCAACCTCCCCACCTTCTAAGAGTGAAGATGGCTGCTCAAGGTTGTCAGGAAAGACCTGGAGGGACCCTCAGCAGGGGTTCCTGAGGGTCTCATTTCTGGCTCCTGCCAGAGCTACATACCTGTACCTTGCCATTGTACCCTACTGATCTGGACCCCCACCCAGGGGGTGGGACTTGAACTTCACAGCTTGAACAGGGATCTGCGTCATCCCCGTCAACTTGTGTGGTTATCTGGACTGAAGGCTAAATCTGGCTACTGCCCACAACTGCTCTGCTTGCCTTGGTCAGGTACAGTGTGAGGGGGCCCTGGCTGGAGGGATTCTGCTCCAATGACTGTGTTATTGCATTTGGCTCCCAGCTCCCCGTCCCTTAGGGAGCAGCCAGCCACAGTGCCCTGGAAGTCTTCATTCACCTCTTAGGAACCATTTCCTTCACTGTGGAGACAGGAGTTGCTTTAAAATAATGGCTGGGAATACCAGGTCAGTACATGACCACCCTGCTGCTCAAACAGTAGACAGCCACATCAATCCTGCCATCACAGTGGAGGTGCCCCTGGTTTGCTCAGGGAAGGTGTAATATTCAGCATCTGCAGCAGTCCTAATCTTTTGTCAGGCCAAGGCTTTAAACCAGGATTTCTGAAGTATGCAGGATGTGCCCTTTTGCCAGTCCAAAACACCTATGGCCATCCTGGACAGATCCCACAGTTTTCAGAGACAGTTCCCAGCCCTTGCCACCATGCACTGGGCACTGCAGAGCCTTCTCCAGAGGCCAGAAGAACCTCCCTTTCACAGGAAAGCAGCAGCCATTTGGTCTGATGAACCACCCCAGAAGCCTGCAAAGCTAAGAAGAGGAGGAACAGGGAGCTGCTTCCACTTAAAGCTGAAGCAGAAGATAGGCTTCTCATGCTGATTCAGAGCTACAGTCCTAGACCCAGTTTGGTGTTCCACTGATTAACTGGCATCTATGGGCAAATTTTGGGAGCAATGCTGTGGACTATTGACCTCTATCATGGTACATGCTGTGGTTAAGCTGTGGTCTCAGGTTGAGTGAAACAGGGATGCTTTAGCTTTCTCTTAGTTTAATGTCTTTGGCTGGGGTAATGCTGGCAAGGACAAGCTGTGTGCTATCTTGCCACAGCTGGTGAAAGGCAAGTTACTGAGGAACTGTGCAGTTCAGAAATGATGGCATGGGCATGGGTGTCTAGAGAGTCCAAGCAACTGTTTCACTTCCTCTGACAGCATGAATGTTTCTCCAACATGCAAAGCTTCCAGATCTACATTTTCAAGGAACACTGTTCAGGTTTCCTCCAAGGTCCCTAATTTCTCTGCTGACTGCATGTTTATCTCAGAATAGGGGATGAGCAAGAAAGCTGGAGAGTCCATCGTTTCCCTACTCGGAGGCTTTGCACATCTCTCCTCCAGAACCGGTGCCCCACGCCGTGCGTGTTTATGAAAGCAGAGATGCCTCCATCCCTCCCTCCCTTCCTAACCCCACCTCCCCAGCACGGCTGGAGGCGAAGCGGGGCCTACGGGGCTGGACCGGGCCGGGGCGGCCCTTCCCTGCGCAGGGGCTGCGGCGGCCCCAGCCCGCTGGCGGGCACCGGCCCCAGCCCGCCGAGCAGCGGCCCCGCCGCCGCCGGTGCCGGCTTTTTGGCATCCCTGATCGCGGCTGGCCCCTGTGATTGGCTGCGCGGCTCTGACCCCGCTCGGGCTCCCGGCTGGGCGGATAAAAGGGGCCTGAGCCGGGGGCTCCCAGGCATTCCCGGAGCGGGCACCAGGGACCGCCGGCCGCAGCATGACGGGCAAAGCGGGCGCGGCGCTGGCCCCCAGCCTGCCCGGCAAGCCCAAGCCCGACGGCGCGGCCGCCGCCCCCGCCGCCCCGCCACCTCCTCCGCCGCCCCCCGCGGCGGGGGTCAAGCCCAGCTCCGGGCCCACCCCTCCCCGTTGCACCGGTTTCGGTATCCAGGAGATCCTGGGTTTGAACAAGGAGCCGCCGTCGCACCCTCGGGCCGCCCTGGACTCTCTGCCCGCCGGGCACCTGCTGGCGGCCCGCTCCGTGCTCAGCCCCGCCGGGGTGGGCGGCGTGGGCATGGGGCTACTGGGGGCCGGCGGCATCCCCAGCTTTTACACCCAGCCCACCTTCCTGGAGGTGCTCTCCGACCCCCAGAGCGTCCACCTACAGCCCCTGGCCCGGGCTCCCGGGCAGCTGGACAGCAGCCAGACGGCCAGCTCAGGTAGGCACGTCCCCGGCCCCCGGGGACTCGCCGCGCCCCACCAGCGCAGCCGCCCGCATCTTGCGCCCCGCCGGGAGGCCACTTGCCCGGCGGCGGCAGGGCGATTTCGTTTCGATCCGGAGGAAGAGGAGAAGGGCGGACGGGACCGTATTTTCCCCCGTTCGGGGCTGCGGCCGCTGTGTGATGGCGTGGCCGGGGGCGCCCGGCCCGGGAATGCGCGGAGCCCCGTCGGAGCTGTCCCCCGCGACCCCAGGTCGTTGCCGGAGAAATAGGGGCCTTTCGGCATCCTTTTCCTAGACGGCAGCAGCTCCCACAACGCTGCCTGCAGGCCCGTTCCCGAGGCCTCCTCGGGTAGCCCTGGAGCGGCAGGCAGCAGCGCCCGAGCCTGTCCCAGAGGGCAACCCCTGGCCTCCTCCCGGCAGCGGCCGGAGCCGTCCGACGCGGTTTCCGACCCGGGCCGTGCCCGCAGAGACAAGGCACCGGGGCCAGGCAGGTTTGCGCGACGCCGCGGGCAGGAGTGGGACCGGAGCGCGCATCGAAATGTGGGTCCCGGTTCCGTCTCTCGGCTGCTCCTTCGGGGCAAAGGCGGCGGCATACTGTCCTTAACACCCCCGGGCCGTTGCACCTCTTGGAAGTCGGGGGTTGCAGATAGGCACCAGCTTCTCCCGGGGTTTGTTTTTGCTGGTAGCTCTATAAACCTCAATTTCTCCCTCCCCGCTCCGGTGTTTCTGCGGCGCAGTCCGGGATCCCCGGGCTGGGGCAGGCGGCCGCGGATGCCCGGCCGCGGGGAGGGGGCTGCAGCTTCCCCGTTTTCCTACGTTTTGGTTGAGCTCTCCGGGATCTGAGTTTTAGCAGCAAGATAACAGCAGCCTAAGGAAACGACTCCAGGGGAGAGAGGCGAGAGCTGCAGTCCGGTCCCGGCCCTAAGCCTTCCCTGTCCGGGGCGGATTGCCCCTAGCTTCCCTCACCGGGACCGGGAGTGGCGCTGGGGCCGCGCCGCGCTGGAAGGAGCGGCCGGCGTCGTGCCCCGTCCGCGGCGCGACCGCAACGAAATCTTCGGCCACAGCCGGCGGAGGGAGGGGAGCTGCCGGGCCCGGCCCTACCTGGGGGTCCCTGGCGGGGAGGGAGCCCACAGCCCACAGCCGCTGCCTGTCTCTCCGCAGATTCCGAGGATGTCTCCTCCAGCGACCGAAAAATGTCCAAATCTTCCCTAAACCAGAGCAAGAAACGAAAGAAGAGGCGGCACAGGTAAGCCAGGGGCGGCCACCCCACCGGCTCTCGCTGCCCCAGTCCCTAGGGAACCGGGCACCACCGAGCCCCGCCGCCCCGGCGGGGCCGACCCGCTCCAGCCTGGAGCAAAATACTCTTCCCGACACCCGCCGCCGGCTCCTTCCCTTTTTCTTTCTCCCTGTTCAAAATAAATCGGATTTGGGGACGTGCCTACAGGGAGCGGGGGGATCGACCACAGGTGTCGTTTTATTAATTTTTTTTCTGGCTGCGGATCCAGGTATTCCTAATCCCAAGCAGCCCACGAGCACCTAGGCGGAATAGGGATCACCAGTGTTCGGGAAGCGAAAATCATCCACCTGTCAGAAATAAAACCCGTTCCCACTCCACATACAGCAATCTTAATATTGGCTGTCAGTAAGACAGAATTCCTATCAATAATTTAAATATTTTATTACTTAGAAATAAATGTTTTGCCAATAGATTAAATAGTTGGGAATCAGAGACAATCTTCAGAGAAGCTGAAGAAGGCTGGAAAATTGTTTAGGAAACGAAGATCCTCTTTGGGATTTGGTTCCCCTCAGCACGGTCAGGATAATAGACTTTGCCTGACTTCTCCCACAGTTAAAAAGGAGTTGGATTGTCTGCGCCTTATAAACAGAAACGAAAAATCCCGTGCTGGGTTCTGGCATTGCTGTGGCCGGAGTGCCAGGACAAAGGAAGGCCAGGCACCATCCATTGAGGGTGATTTAGGAATAATTAAATCAATCCTGCCACGATGCAGGAAAGGTGGATTAAAAGACGCCCCAGTGAAAGCTTACCAGGATGCGGGGTGGAAGGAGACCGACTATCCCAGGAGGCGTCCTGCTATGTGTGCAACAGGAGGTTCGGTCTGTAGGGCTCATCCCGAACTCGGAGACCCTCCACAGGCAAATATTACCAGTTTGGGTGCTCTGGAGTAAATACGAGTTCATTTTATTTGTGGCCCGGACAAGGCTGCGTGAAAACACAGCCGAGACTGGTGTACAGGTCCCCATCTGGATGCGGATTTGTTTTATTTTCAGTTCTAGACAGAAACAGACCAGCAGCATTTGTCTGTAGCTGTATATTCTGTACTAAACGGTTAAGACCCTAGTTGGACCAAGGAAGGGTTGGGAGATGACTGACCAATAGCCTGCATATAGCTGCAGGATAAACACCAAAAAGGGCAACGGGCTACCCGGGGATGAGCTAAAAGGGGAAACTTGAGCTGAACGTCAGGCAAAACCTTCCTGCCGCTGAACCTGGACGGGCTTCTGAGCTATTGTCGGAGGAAGGTGGAGGGGAATGCTTGAAATGTAAACTGGATCAAAATTGGATCCTGTGGTCCCAGAGAGAGAAAATACACGAATTAATGTGCCTCTGCTGTCCCTAGAATTCATAGATTTGTCAGAATTGAAGAAAAACGGTTTGAAAAGAGAATGGATTTAAGAATTAATTTAAAGAAGGGTCTGGTTGCAGGCAGGTCCCTTGCATTTGCATGCTGCTTTTGTTAGTAATGTTATCGATCTGGTGGATTTCATTCTGTATAGCGGAGGATATTTCTGAGAATTTCTCTTTATGATCTCTGGAATTGTAGGGCTTTTCTGAAATCTGGATGTATTTTAGAATAAGACTATTTCCTCTTTCCTTCCGGGAGCTACATGTTTCTTAGAATGATGATATTTATACATTGACTTTGTGAAAAAGGCTGCAGTTCGTTGTTGGGTTGAGGGTTGTTTTATTTTGGTTTGGGTTTTTTTGGTTGAATTTTTCGTTTTGTTTTGGTTTCTTGGTTGCTATTTGGTTTGGGGTTTTTGGTGTTTTTTGTTTGGTTGGGTTTGGGTTTTTTTGTTGGTGTTGTTTGTGGGGTTTTTTTGTCATCAGAGTATTGTTAGTTTATATCAAAAATTGCATTTTCTGTACTGGAGGAGTTGAAGGGTGGGAGTTTTAATCCTCGGGGAGTGGAAGTGGTCTGAGACTTCTCATCAATTCGCTGGAGAAGGGCTTTCATCTGTCTCAGCTTTCCAGCTGCTGATTTTGCAATTTGGTTGTCCCAAACTGAGAACTGGCTGTGCGAAGGTGGGTTGGGCTGCTGCCCGCCCAGAGCAGTCCAGGAGGATTTCCAGAGGATAATGGGGTAATGCAAACTGTCAGGGAGCAGCTAATGGGATATCGGGGTGGGAGCAACCAGGGTAAAGGCAGAGGAAGGGAGCTGGCCCTGGCTTTTGTGGGGAAGGATGGTGAAAAGTGGTGGGGAGCAGAGTGGATAAAACATTCAGAGAATTCATCCACGGACTGGGACTCGAGCTGAAGGATTACTTGCTCATAGAGGTTGAAAAGGCTAAGTACCAGCAGCTGGGAAAGGGCTCAGCACCTCTCCAGGCAGGGTGCTGAGGGGATGCTGCTTCATCTCAGTGTGACTATCATAGGGTTAAGAAATGTCTTGATGCAAGAGGAGGAGAGGTGTGGTTTTAAGCCTGGCCAGGGGTGGGTTCAAAGTTGCAGGGAACATAAAGGATAAGGACATCCACTAGGATCCTCGAAAGAGGCAGTGCAGTCTGAGATGTAAGAGCAGCTGCCATCACTTCAGGTGTTCACTGCTGGGGAGGGACAGTCTCCAGAGGCAGGTCCTTGAAAGGAAAGGTGATTTGTAACTGTTAAAATTCTGTCTTCTGGCATTTTCTGGTTCTCCTTTCACCCTGGCACCTGACCTTTGGGCACAGAAACACAGGAGATGGGGAAAAGTTATGTGTTAGCAGGTTACCCAAGTTTCACTGGTTTCACTGTCCATTTCTCTGACTCATCATCATCTTTGCTGCTTCTTCTTATGTTTTTTGATCAAAGAGTTTTACTCCCCTCAGGACAATCTTCACATCCTACCAACTGGAGGAACTGGAAAAGGCCTTCAATGAGGCCCACTATCCTGACGTATATGCTAGAGAGATGTTGGCCATGAAAACAGAGTTGCCAGAAGACAGGATACAGGTAAACATATCTCTTGGACCCCCTTATCGTGCTCCTCTCAGCCATTTCCATCCCTCCCTGAAGAAAACACAGCATGGGAAGACTGACATTTCTCTGAATAAACTTCCCCAGGCTGTCCACTCCCGTGCTTTCCATGGGTAGGCAGAGAGATCAGCTGTTCTTGGCAGATTTGTATTTGGTGTTTGTATGTCAACATGTGCTGTGTGTTGTGTGTTGTACAAGTGATTTAGGGTGTGTGTAACAGAGGGAATCCTAAATCAGAGAAGGAGAACAGGCATGCAAAAAAGACCACAGAATTTCGAGGACTTGCTATGGGAAAGAAGGTATAGGCAAGAAGAGAACCTTCTGGAGACTGTGTCTGGGTCGGTACTGTTGGAGGGAAAGAGCTCATCTCTGCTCCATTGGGCACAGAAGGATGCACAGAGTTGGCACAGGCAGCTAGTAGTGCTGTGGGTGGATTCAGTGTGGGAATGATGGGGGAGTCTCAGTGAGGTGTTTACACCATTATTTTCACTTGAGAAGGCAAATGCCTCCTCAAGTGAAGTTTCCCTAAAAGTTTCTGGGGCTATTTTTTCTTCTATTTTTTTTTGTTAATTTGTTAAATTTTGTTAAGCTTACAGTTTTTAACATTTGGGTTTTAATTGCATGTTAGCCTTATCATGCCACTGTGAGGAGGTAGAACAAGGTGGCGTGGAGTATCACCACTGTGTGGTGAATCCTCCAGTGAAAAGGAGCAGCCCGAGCTGCAGGGCTGTGCCAGCACCATCCTTTGTCCTGTGTGGCAGCAATCAGTGCGAGCAATCATTACAGCCAAAAAGCTGGAGAAGACTTACAGCTGCTGTGTACAGTGTGGGAGGCACAATGTGCTTGGACACACTACATGTGATATTCACAAAGGTGGGCTCCAGCAGCTTCTGTTGCCTCCCTTCACCCATGACTTGCTCCTGCCAGGTTGCTACATAAGGCACAGGATTGTAATGGCCAAGGCTTAAGCAGCAGGTACAGGTAATATTTCTGGGCTGGCTGAGAGCTAAACTGGCCTGGTCCTCTGCACAGTGGCAGTAGTTGCCTCTGTGACTGGTGTATAGCAGTTTCTACAAGAGACATTGTCTTAAGTGCTACATGGTGTTGGGAGGGTCCTAGTTTCCCTAGTTTCTCCTTCTGTCCAGTCCCTCATGCATGCCCAGAACCTGCTGAGCTGCTTCTTGAATCGAGGCTCTTTCTTTGCTAAAGAGATGGCCCAGGAGGCTGCTCCATTGTGGGTTTGGAATGTAGCTCAGAGGGCACTTAGCAAGATAACACTGATGCTGGAAGCTGCTGAGGCATAATCCTGTGCAGGGACAGGCAGATCCTCGCAAACAAAAGTGCAGCCTTTTTTCCCCTCAGTCCTGAGACCCCCTCACCAGCCTTATTTTTATGATTAATCAAGAGTGACATTTTTAAGAAAGCAACTCGTGCTTCGTATCCCATTGATCTGGCAGGACTCCTGCTGACCTAACAGCTTGTAGATAACCTTCATGCTGACAGGATTTCCACCAGTCTTCAGAGATAATGGCTCATCATCTGAAACCTTACCTGATACATTAGGATTTTGCTCTGAGCAACAAGCCCTGATGCTTTGCCTCGAGAGAGTGAGATGGATGGAGGGTAATTTCTCTGCTTGTGACACTGTAGGACATCAAGAGAGGAGAGACTTAACCAGAGTTTAGTGTTGCCTGCACCCACCAACTGATGCTGTCCTAGAAAGAGGATCCTTTGATTCCCTGTAAAGGACCTTTTCAGCGAAGAGGTTTATCTGGTGGCACAGTATATGCTGAACTCCAGAGGCACAATTTCTCTGTCCAGAGCTGAGGACCTTCACTATGTGTGAGGTGGAGGGAGATACTATGGCAGACAGTGCAGAGCTGGACACTGCATGTACTGCTTCAGCCTCTGGAGCATCCTTCTAGTGCTGAGATTCAGTGTTTTACCTGATACAGAGGCAAAATAGAGTCTAATGTATCTTTAACTGTCATTGACTTGCTGCCACATCATTCTGCAGCTGGCTAATAAACAACTGCCTACTTTCCCTGTGTTGCAGAATTTTTAAAACTAGGAAGGCTTCTTATCCTGACCCCTCTGCTCTAAAGATCAGGTTAGACTTGGACAGCAGAAGCACCCCATGGTCTGACTATAAGGTGTAACTAATGGCATGTGTATTCCAGAAGAAAGTGCTTATGAGTAACAGTTTTGCTCATCATGAAAAGAGGAAATAATGAGAAAGAGAATTTATGTGGCATTGTTGTGTGAGAGCATGAGCACCCTGCCAGGGTGAACATTGGGGTTATGTGGAAGTCCTGAGCACCATTGTTCTTTCCGGTAGGTCAGCAACTGATTATCCCTTACCACATATTCTATGAAATTTCCTTTTCCATAGTTTTTTTGTGTGTGACAAGCCATGCCAAGATGATTCCCACCTTTGATAATTCTTCTTGATATTTCACCTCATATTCCTTTTCAACTTTATCTCTTTGTGTTATGAGCCTAATTCTTTCCCCCTTGTTATAATGTTCACACTCTTTAAATAAACCTAAGCTGTTTCTTCTCCTGGCTTTCACTTTTGGTTTTCACCATTGCTTACACAAGTTACAAAGACCTCTCCTTAAATCATCCTTCACAAATCACACATTCATCTCTTAATCATGTTGTTCTTATGTGAAGCCCATCCTGCCTATCAGTCTTCCTGAAGATAAGGGACCACATGCCTACAGCTGCATGCTGGGTGTGTTCACACTGGTTCAGCTGGACTTCTGAGCCCTTGTAGGAACAGCCTTGGATTAGCACTGGTCTGCTTGCTTCCTTATTTATTTATTTCTATTTATCTAATTCAGTCACTTCAAACTTTTTTTGGACAGCTTTGTTTTGTTTGTTTGTTTGTTTGTTTGTTTCCTCAGGATTTTCCCTTCAGTGCTCTGGGTTTCATATGGCATTTTGTTAACTTTGTCTAACAAACATATTCACTGCCCTACCAGCTCTGACACTCGCAAGAGGTTAGTGCTAGAGTATGAGAACAGGGCAGCTATCCAGTGATACTTACAGAGTACGTTATCAGCCTCCTGGGATTTTGAACACATGTAAATATCTTAATATCCCGCAGCAAGAAGTTCTGCAGCAGAACTGCCTGAGTGAAGCAAAGCTTTGAGTCTCTTAACATCATTTAATGCCCCTTGGAAGAGACAGCTGACAATGAATCTTTATTCCCATTTTCATAATATTTATAGTTCTGCATTGTTGAACTTTTTTCTTTGCATGAGTTTCCAACTGCTCAAGGGAGCTCTATATTTTTTCATTTTCATTGTGGCTTACAGTTCCTCTTACCTTTCAACATTCCTCTCTCCCTCTTGTATGTTATTAATGGAAGTGTTTTCTAAGATTGTTGTCAGCATCATATGTTGTGGACTTCCACAGCATTCCATGTGGCTTCTCACTGGATCCACACCTAAGAGTGATATCTGTCACTTATTTTCATTCATGGAATTATTTCTCAGGAGGTAGTAGTCAAAGAGAAAGTAAATCACCTATGAAATTTGATATGAAAGTGGAATTCAAAGAGTGCAATTGAAAGAATGATATATAGGAACTGTTTGCAGGTAAAACCTTCATCAGAACACTACAGATAGCCATCAGAGCCAAGAAAGTTATTGGTTTGAGAGAACATTGAATCCAGGAAAAAAATATTCAAATCCTCCACTTAAAGAGAAGATGAACATGTAATTTTTTTTCTAAGGCAGCACTCTTTAACAGTGTGTGTGTCTTCCTCCCTCATTGAGCTGGCTGCTCCTGGAAGGAAAACAAGCATCTTCCCATTGGGAAAATAATTCTTTTTCAAAGTGAGACACTATGTACAAGTAAGACCAGATGTCACTGTGGCCAGTTTGCAAGATACTTGAAAAATTCCAGGTTAATAAAAGTATTTGAAAGAATATTCAGAAAAATTGAAGTGCCCCTATTAGAATAAATACAGACCATTCTGTAAAATCCAGGTGAGGTAAGTAGATTCCTATGGGGAAGTATATCTTAATAAACAGAATGAAGTATTAAACATGGCCTCAAGCTGACAAGTGTTGTGACATCTGACTTAAACTGCTTTTTCTCATAACAAATAACTCTTAAGTGTAATGTGTAGATTTTAGGTAAGTTATTCCTATTGAATTTATTAATATGTAGCAGTTCTGAACTTTAAACACAGTAATTTCAATATTAAAGTTCAGTAACAGTTCGATTTGGGATTATTGAAATGAATGTGTATGTTTGTCCTTAAAATATGTCTCCTACCAATCAAACAAATTGATTAATTAGGATTTCCCAAAACTAAGATCCTGACTGCCATTGGGGGGGGGGCACTAGAGTCACCTTTTTAGGGACCTAATCAATTGAGAAAGATAATACAAATGCTAAAAATTGTTGGTTCATAATGTTAAAAGATCGTATGGTAATTATGTGGATGACGAATTTTGGGACCCATAAATTTTGGAACACATAAATGCTCATGTAAGCAAAAGGAATCCCAAAAAGGGTCTGGTGCTGTGCATGAGAAGTGGGGATTGTCTGTGTATCCAGCAAGTTTTGTAAGGCAGCTAAAAGGTAAATTTTGGCTAAAACCAAAACAAGGTCAACTAAATCTCTAATTGAAAATGTATTGGTTTAGCTGCTTTCAGATTAATGCATTTCAGTATCACCGTGCAGCCATTTGGGAGTTGAACAGGGATGGAGAAATCAAGAAGAGTAGTCAGTTGGAGGGAAGCATTTGTACCAAGAGAGTATTTTTCCAGAACAATAGCCTTAGCTTGCTTCATTTTTTGCAAAAAGATTCTCTATTTAGAGGTGAACATAATTTGGAAAGGCCTGAGGAACCTGAGCTGCACTGAGAGTGAGCTCAGGAGTGAACCCAAGGAGTTCCTCCAGGAAACATAATAGAAAGTGTGAAGGAAAAGTTAACTTTATGCAGCTTTAGCAGCCCT